AATTACACGATCGTGGTCTGCACTGTCGGCCACCTTGCATGAGGTGGTATGCAACAAGCTGGGTAGTTACAAGTACTGGAGAATCTGCTTGTCTAATTTCAAAGAACCCGTCGATATCCAAACCACTCCTGTAAATTTGGACTCTTCGACTTTCACTCGGGCATCATGCACAACCTTGGCTTTCCACATGGAAAAAGTCATCCAGAGCTCGTTTCGGCAGTCAAAATTGTTTTCAATTCAATTGACGATTATATGTGGTACAACTCCCTGGCTGCCAGTCATTGCTTCCATCCAGTATACATCTGCCACTCTATGCTCTGCGGCTAAGCCTCCAGGTGCAAGGAGTTTTCCGCGCAGCCTATTTGAGATTGACAGCAAATGTCAATAAAAGCGAAGGGAGCCGCATGCGATCTACCCAAACCATCATGTTCAAGACATAAAGGACCCTGCTCTTGGTTGATATAACGCCATGAATGTGTTTCCCCAAACCAATCTCAAGTTGCTCCCCACCATCTGTAACCCTCACGCATAGCCAACACAGAGGCATTCCGGGACTTAATGGCATAAACGACAGGTAAATGAAACACCACCTCCAACCTAAGCAGAGCCAACAGACTCCATGAACACGTCGGATCCGATTATCTTGAAGGGGATCACTTTTGTTCTTAGAACTTCTACGCAGGCCGCTCTCGGCGAAAAAAATGGGCGGTAAACTCTGCTGAATCATTCTAGTAGAGATTATCATCTCCCGAAACTACAGAAGGCAGTTTGTGGCCATTAAACTTTTACGTAGACTACCCATTCCATCAAGCCACTTTAGCGGCAAGAAGTTAGATGAAAACAATTGAACCACAACTTGGTATCTCAACTTCTCAACCAAGTTATTTAGTATAATACAATACAACGAAAAATATTCAAGTGGAGAGAAAATGTGGTACGAAGTTCGCCGAAGCATAAGTATTGTCTGGTGGGTGAGATGACAAGCAATGCTGGGTATTGGAGTGATAATTTGTCCTGAAAGAACTTGAAGCATGGACACGCGGGATCATATATGTGTTTAAGGAGACGTGCCATTATCTAGTTCATCTTCATTCTTCTTTGCCCAATATTTGATTTTATGTTTTTTTTTTCAAAGGGTCAATGCTAACAACAAAATTTGAAGTCCCATTGCGATTGTGAACTTGGTAGTTAGCTATCGGGACCACTTTTATCCGATGCGGCTCCTCACTTCGTCTGGATCCAACTCCTAATACTTCCATCCCAACATAGACGCATTTGATATCTCTTTGCAATGGCGGTCCAAGGGGTGGAACAGACCATCCTTAGGGATCCAGCTCTGTTGTATGTGTTCATCCATATCTTTCCTCAATTCCTATCTTGAACGCTAATCAAGCTCCAAACGATGAAGTTACTGGATCCTCTTCCCTATCACAGTGGTAATGGTAAGGAATGTCCCAGGGGATTGCGGCGTGTCAGAAACTGTCGCCTTACTCATGCGGCCATCTAATAATTATTTATTTTTTTTTTTTTATTCTTATATTCTAATATGTACGTAAAACTCCTTGTTTAGGTGTTAACTGGAATTTTGCGCCACTACGCAACTGTCTTCCTCGCAACTCCGGCCAAAAATGCGTTGACGCCCGCTGAGTCCCGAGAACGCCTGTCGCTCTTGCGCGGTGTCAATCTACGAAATAATGCCTCTGCTGTTCTCACGCCACAATCGCTTGCGTCTCGCAAGAATTTTCTTATTACCGGCTACAAGGAGGGCTTGTTCCTGAAAGACCCAGAGGCACGTGGTGGAGGACCCGTGAACCCTATGACAGATCCTGCAGGCATGGATGCGATGATGGGCATGATGAAGGGTAATATGGCAATGATGATTCCGCAGACGCTCATTATGGGGTGGATTAATGCATTTTTTTCGGGATTCGTTCTTTGTATGTTTTTTCTCTCCCTACTTATCCAGGAATGATACTAGTCGCACGTGGAATGGAATATGGAGGGACGAGGGGACTTATGCTAACTATTCATACAGTGAAACTGCCTTTCCCTTTGACTATTCGATTCAAGTCCATGTTGCAATCTGGGGTTATGACTCGTGATCTGGACGTGAGATGGGTTTCGAGTTTGTCATGGTATTTCCTGAATTTGTTCGGCCTCCAACCTGTTTTCGGGTTTATCCTGGGCGGCGATAACTGTGAGTGCTATATCTTGTTCTATTTTTCCACCTGTTTCCTCTTCATTCTACTATTCTCCGCAAGGTCTACTATTTATTAGCGAGTGCTCTTGCTAAGTGCACATACGTACTAGCTGCGAACCACATGACCGAACAGATGTCCCAGATGAATCCAAATGCGGCCGCGAATCCCTTCGGACCTGGCCAGGACCCCGATAAACTGTTCTTGGCAGAGGCGGAAAACCTCGAAGTCATGGGACATTACTGTATTCTTGATGGCATTGAAGAGAGATTGTTACAGAGAGTTGGATAGAAATGATGATACGATGATGTATTATATTATTGAAATTTATAAGAGCCGAGAGACAGCTTATTGTCTAATCTTGATGTTCGGATTTGATTATATATTTATTATGTCTTAGGAGTGTTTCTTGAGAATGAAATAAAGATATGTACAGAAAGTCCTGTAAAATTAGAAATGTCCATCCGTAATAATAATCGTGTCCCATCCCTTGCATCCGTTTACTCAGTAGCCATGTCATATCAAGTCCCTAGCAAATGTGAAATTGAGAAAACCAGTCTCAGGTATCAAAACAGAATGAGGAAAGAATCCCACTGACGCCGATCCCAGTAACATCGTTAATTCGGCCGAGACTCAGAGATAATTTATAACTCGATTGAGAATCCATACTTCCCCGTTAGACGCCTGGGTCATAATCTTCAGAACCTCGATTTTATCAGGATAAATCTATCCAGCCATTAGCAAACTGTCAACTCAATGAAAAGAACTGAAACGACGATCGGAACACGCACATAAACTTTCCCATCATCTTCCTTTTTCCAATAAATCGCGCGACCACCGACAGTCTTAACTGTCTCCTGAGACGGCCACGGGCACATTGGTACAATGTGTGCTTCAACGAAGTGCTTTAGATTCTTTTCCGCTCTCGCTTCCCCTTCCTTTGACGTATACGCTGCTTCGCCAAAGTCACGATAATCTGCTGGATCCTCCCAAGGTTTGCGGGGCAATCCATGGATTGCAGAATTCAACGGAGCTAGCACAATACTATTCTCCGTCCCATTATTGAAACGGGTGGAAACAGCCTCGATATCCCTGGTGAGAGAGGAGAAGATGTTGACTTCTCGAGTCTTAGAGAGGATGTCGGAGATGTATAAGAGTGATTGCACTTTTTCATCAGGATCGTTGCCTTCGCCCTGTGGGCGGTCGTTGTTGTCCCCCATTACAATTTGGTCTTGAGGCGGGAGGAGGAGTGTGAACGAGTTTGGGATTGCTTCAAGGCAAGTGGGAATTTGCAAGTTTCGCGGTAGAGACGGCGGCGACTGACGAAATTCTCGAGATGGACGCGGACAGCGGATACACTGAAGGAAATTGATAATAGGAGGACAAGAAGGCGATACTTCATAGTTATCAGTGGATGGAGTCCGAGGACTCGACTTCGAGGTGCAATTTCTCATAGCCTTGAAGAGAGTGAATGATATCATCACAAGATGGTTTGACTATTGCAGGATCCATGGATGTGCCAGTTGATAGAGCACGTGATATACATTAATGAGTGATTACATCATGTGGCGTCCAGGCGGCAAAAGAGCTCTCACACCCAGTGCTATGCTGGCAGAGAGGAAACGGACAATCCGATCCAACAGCTCTAACAGTTTTACAAACGATAGTTTTCCTTTTTTTTTCCCTTTCTTTTTTGGACGCAGAGTACTTAACTAGAATCAGGGCTGTAAGTTTCATCAAGTTTTTACTTGGCTTTTATAACATATTACGGGGCTCAAAATGCATGGAGCAAGCATGTTGGCGCAGCGGAAGCGCGCCGGGCTCATAACCCGGAGGACCTTGGATCGAAACCAAGACATGCTAGAGCAATAATTTTTTGTATTTTTATTTTACGTTTTTGCACTTTCATCACTGAAATATACTGTTTGATTATTTCCCCTTGTTTTCCATAATTTCTTTGTTCCTACGACTAGGCCAAGTGTATGTAGGTATATAAAAATCCTATATGGGAGGGAATGATGTTAGGAGGATAACGTTGGTTGTGTGATTGGTAACCATCTACAATGATGGTAACACGTGATTGTTATCGATAAACGAGCATCTCTTGGCTCAAATCGTAAACAGCACCCTATCTTTGTGACAATTAGATTTCGCCGCCGCTGCACCGTCATTGAGAATCCCCAGCAAGATGTCTGAACTGCAAGAGTTTTTGCTAGTGGTCGACGATAACAGAGAGCAGGCTCTGGGAATTGCTAGTATCGCAGCCCAAAGTAAAGTCTTTCCCATTTGATTCTCGATTTGCCAGGATCCAGAGTACTGACAGGCTTTTGTATTTTAATTCGGATTGTTCTTGCAGAGGTTGAAAACAAGCAATCAACTTTGATTGGTTTAGTTCAGTCTCTGGGTGAATATATCAATGACGAAAATCCTGCAATTCGGGGGAAAGTAGTTTCGTATTTGACAGCGGTCATAAAAGCGCTCTCGCCGAATTTCCTTTCCCGCCAACAAATACAGGCCCTGACAGACTTCTACTGCGACCGAATTGAAGATGGAGGGGCAATAGCAGGTCTGGATAGGCTTCAAGGTCTTGATCGTTTTACCAAAGATATGACTGAGAGGGTTATACGATCGTAAGTGCGTCAATGAATGATGATCCAAGACCTACTTTTTTATATAGGTCGGTGTTTGGGTTGGCAAATATATTTCTTGGGGAATGCTCACATACGTCCAGAATTCTCCAGCACTTTTCAGATTTACAGACTCGTCCACAGTCCCAACGTTTCAGCTTCTTCAGCTTCTTAATGGCTTAAGTGTCAAATCACAGGACAGGTGACAGATATGTACCTCCGCAATCGAGATTTTCAGAGAGACGCTTATCAAAACACACAGCACTGCAAGATATGGGCGATGAATCGCTAGTTGGGATTGTTGACCTTGTGAGCGGAGAGAGAGACCCAAGGAATCTCATGCTCATTTTCTCCATTCTCAAGGTCCTTATGGTGGAATGGGATATATCGAACCATGTCCAGGTTGCGCACCCGGCCACTGAACTGCACGTTGGACTTCAGAGTTGGCTAACGTCACGTATATAACAAGGCCCTTTTTGATTCGGTATACAATTATTTTCCCATCACATTTAAACCTCCACCAAATGATCCATACGGCATCACAGCCCAAGATCTAAAGACCCGTTTGCAGAATTGCATTTCTTCAACTCAGCTTTTCGCGCCTTATGCGTTCCCTTCACTATTGGATAAATTAGATTCCACGTCGCTGAATGTGAAGGTTCGTGGACGTCTGATCTCCTTATCATTCAATACTGCTAACAACGCTGCAGAAAGACGCTTTGAACTCGCTTTATGCATGCATATCCTCATTCGACCCGGCCACTGTGTCGCGCTACTCGATAAGCGTATGGGATACTTTGAAATTTGAGATTCTTCATGCGCAGGAAGAAATTATTGCGGAAGAGTCATTGAGAGTGCTTCAATGCCTAGCAAGGCGACTTTCCACCATTACCACGAAATCCCAAACTTCCGCTCTCGTACAATATCTGAAACCAATAACGAAGGAATGTAATGAACAACTACGCGAACCACAACAGAAACAAGCTCAACCAGCGCGACAAATCCTGAGATCACTTTCATCTGCCTCTTTGACATCCTTTACACTGATTATTCAGGACGTCATTGTACCATTACTTACTGTTTATCAAAATGCTCATGGAATTGCCAAACAAAGAGGTCTCCTAGAGGCTTTCGTTGCACTATTTGACTCCGCCATTGATATTCTTGGAACATGGACTACTCCCGGATCAGATTTTTCGCAGGAAAACCCTCTCAGCCCCTTTGAGGAGCGTTTACTTGAAATCTTCAGCCAAGCGCTGATGGGGTCCGCGAAGGATGAGACCTCGTTCCGGCTTACCTCCATGCAAGGCCTGCTTCGCCTATCCATCCTTCGAGGGTTCTTACAGGATAACGAAATAGGCCTTTTTGTACAGTATCTCGATGACATTCTGCTGACGGAGACATCGGGAAAACCCGAGCTCAGGAAGGCAGCAATAGACGCTCTGGCTGGAATATCGGAACACAAACCGCGCCTCATTATGGATATCTCATTTCCAGCTCTCATGGCTATGCTTCCAGATTCTGACAAAGGTGTAGATCCTGCATATCTCAGTATTCTCGAAATCCTTGCTCAGATCAGTATTGGGAAAGACATATTCGAAACCCTCGTCCGGCGCCTCTTGGGCCGGTTGGAGATTTTACTACTGCCCGGAAATACAAGCACTTCTGCATACCCCCGTGCGATTTTGTTGACGATACTATACGCCATGGATCGAAAAGGATTGGAAAATGACTCTACCATTGATTATTATTATGATCAGATACTGGTAAAATTGAGCAGGCAAGCGGCTATTGCAACCCTCGAAAATGATACTACGACAGTTATGAAAGACCCGTCCGTTCTTGACGTTCTTGGGCGTCTGTTCAATCTCATAGTCCGTTCTCTCCCTCTCAAGAAACAGGATGAAGTTTGCGAGAATGTTTACAGCCTTTTTGCAACAAATGATGACTTTGTTCCAGTCCCATTTTCATCAAATGTCACACCCCTTCGACGGCAAACCATGATCCTGTCAACTTACCTTCTGCTGGACTACCAAAGACTCTAAGCTACCATACACGACGCCCG